CAGCATGAGTTACCACAGTCATATATTGCTTGCTCTTCCAGTAATCCTCTGGTCCTCGTACTTCAGATATCATTTGTTCGTTTTGTGGAAGTGCACTCACGCTGGTTGAATTACTTTAGAACTCGCTTTGACAGAATAAACTATACTTCTGATCTCTTTTAAAGCTGTTAGTTTTCCTCTTAACATATTAATCGTTAGGCCTTTCACTCTTTGGGCAGTTAACTTTACGTTTAACTTCCCTTGGCCGAACTTATAGTTCCCGAGACTTTACTTTCTCATCTGCTCTGTCTGTTTCCTATTCCCGCTTGACTCACACTATATATATGTATATATCACTTAATCGTCTGCTCGCCTTCTAGAAATCTCTATATCCTCGCCGTCAATAAATTTCACGCGACGTTCGATAGCCTCAACATTAATGAATTCTAAACAACTTCCAATAATCGCCTGCTTTTAACTCTCTTATTATAAAAAACTAAACAATCATGAAATATTAAATCACAAAATAATGAATTAATACTACCTACGCTAAACAGTCTTTGATATCTGACAGAGACAGATTATTTGATAGTAGTAAATTATATAGCCTTCCAACTATTTGAGAAATATAAATCAACTTCTTCACTCACGTACCTAAACAATTATTTATCACTCTGTATTAAATATTATGACATCGTCACCACTAAAAGCCAAATAAACATCATTCATTTTTGAATCGATTTGAATGTTGTTTCATATTCTTTCACCAGCTTTAAAATGGGTTAGAATCACTAAACTTCCAGTTAATCTAAACAGTAATATCAACGCTATTATTTTTGTTACAAGAAGTTCCATCTTTAATCACAGCTCTACAGCTGCTAAGACCATCAGTATTTTTTGTACACTGTTTTACGTTTCGGTAGGGTATCGTTTCGTTAATATAAGGTACGTGTTTTTATGCTATAAAGACTTTTGCTGACACATCTTACGGTAAAGATAATCCATTATGTGTACTCGCGTATTAGCATCTGTCATTCAGGGTTGGCTGGCTCGATTATTGTAATATTTTGTACAGGCTTTTGAGTTTGATTTTAAGGACACAAGTACTTAAAGAGTTAAATGAGTTAATTATTACCTGCCACAAAGCACGGTATGCAACTAGCATCCAATGAGGACATTAGAGATTTAATAACAAAAGAAAGAAAGAAGGGAACATTATTTAACGCTGTCCTTTATACAATTTTTTTCTTTTTTTAACGAGTACTTTCAGCTAATTTTAATAATTTTTCATTTATGTTATTCGGATTCAAAGACTTTCAACCAATGTCTTTGTATAGCTCTTCTTCAAGCAAGGAATTGTCTCGTACTTAAGTAAGGAGAATAAATATAATTTATATATGTTCTTTATATGCTGGCTATTATATATGCTTGCATGTGTGTACGCTCCCTACAGCTGAACTTTGATGAGTCATGTTTCGCATGAGATAAAGAGATACGTTTGATAGATAATAAACATCCCTGTTACACCCGCCTTCAACAAATTATACTTTTGTAGCTTTAACGGGAAGAATGTTTAACACTCACCAAAAGTCTGATATATTATCTAAACTAACTCCCTGCAAGTATTTTTCGAGAGGATACAGCTTGACATATAAACACATATATATTTGAATCTCAATAAAATGTTCTGTCGTGTAATAATACTTTCAGTAAAATGTTTTGTCGTGTAACAATACTTCCAGTAAAATGTTTTGTCGTGTAACAATACTTCCAGCGACACGTACATAGATTGCACTATATTAGTAGAACAAAATATCCATAATGTAAGACATGTAGATCAGAATATAGCTCATATGTCACATAGACGCGTCTTCACCTTGCTGCGCTTGTGGGAACATCATGTCTTAGAAAAACCGTACAGCTCTAAGTATTTTGAAAAGCTTAATTACAGTTGTTATATATATTCGCTAGATGACATCGTTGTTTGAGAAAATAGTCAAATTCACAATGAAGACCTTTATATTTAAGATAATTGTTGCGAAGTTTGCAGTAAAGACTTTTGTTTTGAAGATTACTTTTATCCATGTAACCAATCTAAATTATAGAATATTTTGGGATTTTATAACCTTCAAGGCCTGTAGTTCGAAATAGACGTGTTCTTTATATTTCATTATCGCTGTTCTGACATTCATTGTACATCATAAGCCTTTCAAGAGTATAACAGCCTTGTGTCATCAATGCCCAATGTTTTTAGTTTTATTAGTTATATTGCTTCATTTTTTTTCAATGTTAGTTTCATTAACAGTATTGGATAAAATGTTT